CCTGACTCCGTGTAAAGCAAAACGTCTGTATGAAATTTTTGGCTGAAAAAGTAATTGTGGTGAAATACAACCACTTTCTGTACACCGTTTGCACAAAAAAAAAAAAACATGATTGCACCGGTTCAGCTTTTTTTTTTTTTGAATCTTCGAAATTTATACCGAAAGGTCGTATATTTCAGGCTTGGCTTCCACAGGACATTCAATTTCCGATTCGAATAGTTGCCATCGATTATGCATCCTCGCTTGTGCGTTTTAGAGGAGTCAACGAAACCCTTAGTGCAAGGGCACAAAAATTTACAGCACAGCTCAAAGCAGCCGGTGTGGGTGAACGGCCGATACTGTTCATTTGCCATAGCATGGGTCTGTTTCTTCTTCAGTCATGGTCATGCATCCTTCATTTTGTGGTTTTTATGCTTTTTTTACAGCTATGCAATGCAGAAAACGCATACCGACAAGAGGTTGTCTGTGTGTGTGTCTGTGTATGCGCTGCGCGTCTGTACCGATTTTTCATCTGGAGATCCACAAAAGCTACGGAGCAGAAACTTGGGGAACGTAATCTACATGCGTGTTCGGGCTCCCATCTCCGAAATGGGTGCTGTTACCCGCGTAGTACCCACATACGGGTCCACCAAAATTTTTTTCGGGTAAGTTGTTAACTCGGGAACCTGAAAAGCTAGAAGGCTAAATTTTTAAGGAGATGTTCCTTGTCCAAGTAGGTATTATTGAATTCAAACCCAGCTCTCGGGTATGTGTGGTACCCACGTGCGAGCTCGTGAAATTTTTTCGCGGGTAAATCGCTAACTCGGGGATCAGAAAAACTAGAAAGCTGAAATTTTGCGAGGACGTCCCCTGTCCACGTAAGTCTTAATAAGCTTCAAGCCAGTCTGCCGGTACGCGTGGTGCCCACGTACAGGCTTGCCAAAGTTTTTTTCGGGTAAGTTGCTCGAGTACCTGAAAACAACAAAAACCGTGGGAAACTATGCAAAAAACGCGTCTTCGCACAGGCAGCTCGTGCGTTGCCCAATTATTATGCGTTTTTTGCAGTAATGCAATGCAAAAAACGCATATTGACGAGAGGTTGTCTGTGT